AAGTCTGAACAATTTTGTGAATTTTACAAGTCATCAGGTCAGTGGTGGATATAACTTTGCTGATTTGTATTTCCAATGTATGACATGTGGATCAGACCACAATTACAGGGACTATACTGAGTTTAACCAGATATATATGTGTATGTGTGTGTGAATTGGCATGTTATTTAAACACACGCAAGAAATTAGATTTAAAGTTAAGTAATGCATTACTGTCAGTCAAAGAAGTTTTCTCATTGTCTGAGTATATCTACAAAACTTCTAGATTCTTAGGTGAAACACATCAAGTTCTACAGGCTATAATTTGTTAGGTATACTGATTTCACTAATGAGACATGTAACTATCTTGCTCTTATGGTAAACTAAATAGTGCAGTATTTACACATAGAATTACAAGCTCAGTTACTGTTATTTCTACATGAGCATGCTTCTCCACCATGAAACCATCCACTCTGCTACCAAACTGGCATTTAATCAAACTACAGCTAACTAGGCAGCAAACCCGTAGCCAGGTGTGCAAAGGAATTACCCCCACTTCCATTGGAGTTCTACTCACCTATTATCACTTATTTATTTTTTCTTTCTTTGATGATGGTCTCTCATTATATAACTGCTTTGGTAACACTTTGCATGCGTGCGGAAATAGCATTTTCATATTTATCAGAGGTAATATACTAAAAATGTTTATTTGCAGTGATAATAAAGGAACCATTACAGATTTTGGATTTTTTTTTCATCCCTGGGCACTAAATTTACACATGAAACGAGTTCCACTTTGAGGCAAAAAGAACCCCCACTTCCAGACCTGGCTTGGTATGCAAAGAACTATTTTCAGCTAGGTTACTGCTGTGCAGTAAACTAAGAGAATGTCTTAACCATATGCAAGATATTAGATTTAAGTCAAGTAACATTTAACCCTACCATCAAGGGTCAAAGGCCATGCCATTGCATCTGTTGACTTGCATTCAACATTTTATTGAACTACTATTTTATGAATATATGTCAATAAGTTTGGTATCAATTTGTAGATTATAATTCAAATTTTAGTATCATACATTAGTTAACTTTTAATTTAAAGGTAAATATTAAGAAAAAAACACCTAAGTATCAATTTTTGTGTCACATGGTATGTTGAATGCATCATTGGTTCAAGTTAGATGTTTGTGATGTCCAAATACAAAGTCTATAATTTCTTATGAATTAGATACTACTGATAGTGACAAGCTAAAATATCAAATAAGAATATCTTACCCTTTCTATTTTCTGAGATATTAATATATTTATTGAATCAACCAAGGTGGCTCCGCCCACCTCTTCAATGTTTGAAAATACTTGCTCATGTACACCTACTTCACCCAATGATATGTGTATAACCAAGTGAAAGCTCAGAATGTCCCCCTAGTGGTTTTCTCAGCCTCTGTGAAGTATTTTCACTGCAAATTCTTTCTTTTGATACTAGATTCTAAACAGTAGGTTAAGACATTAGTAAGTTTGAAATACAGCTTAGTTATTACGCTTGATAAGTTGTGGTGGAATTCTGTGGTATTGATATAGTAATTTATGATTTTTGGTTATTTCAAAATGTATGTAGACAACCTAAATAAAATACTCCGTTTCACATTCTCCACGTGCAAAATTTGAAAAGGCTATTAACCTACAATAAGCAGCAAAGAGTACAAATTTCGTAACTAGAAGAGATAATTGTTTGCTATACTTCTTTATGTACTGTTCTATGTTTTAAGAAAAATAGGTTTAAGAATTTATTTGTAAATAGTAATAATGTATATACATATAGATGCTTATAACTGAAATGTGACTGTATTTTATAAAATACTAGTCCATTAGAACACAGGTCACAGTTTTATATTCTTGGATATGGTAACATGAGTGCACGTTTGCCATGCCATTGTAACTTCTGTACTGTTGGCCAGGCACGGCTGAAAGGTCAATATAATAAATATATATAAATGTATAATGTTATGAGATTTAAATTATTTAGTCTAAACATTTGTGT